CCCACTACCACAGGAATTAGGTTTGACATCAATTGAGACTGTTAAGTGGCCCTCAATCTGTCCAAATTTGGCAATGATCGGGAGTATGGATGGAAGGCAGTAAAGAGTGGCTGCTGAAAGCCACCCAGAGCCTGGCTCTGATGCCTATGTACCCACCCCTTCTTATGACAATGACTAAACTGCAGGGCACAATCTATGGGCTCCAGCTGCAAGCACCCCTCGTCCTCGGACATGGCATCTGCCAACCTTTCATGACTATCGTGGTACCTCTCCACTGCCATCATACAGTGTGCTCCAGCAGCACAGATATGCATTGCAAGGCGCACTGGCAATTTGTATTGGAAAGCTGCAGTAGGGATGGGCATTGAGATCATAGGTTAGACCAGGTTGTCTCTCAAGGCTACTACTTCCACTCTTACACTATTCATTCAGCACCAACATGCGCACTTTTATCATCCATTACTTGCTTTGCCTTGTCATACCAATTGGTGAACTCACAAAACCAGGCAGTTTGCCTTGCTGTTCAGCAGTACTCAGTCAAGGAGACATATATCTTGCTATACAGCTGTGTGCTACATCAATCTCATGCTTGCAGCATGTGCCAGAAGGTTCTGCAGCAAATACAGTGCATGTACAGCAAGCAAACACCATGTCTCAATGTCAAGGGAAAGTAGTTCTCACCAAAGTCCATGGTGTCACCCATTAGGAGGTCTCGGCACAATAAGTCAAAGGCAGTCTCTAATATCAGGGCTGGGGATTGGACATGGCCAGGTGTCTGGTTGGAGTCATTCTGGTCAGGGGTTCCACGTCTTTGTAGTGCAGGGACAGGGTAACAGACAGCCAGTCTGATGGGTATGCTAATGCGGTCAAGGTGGTGGAAAGGCATTGGTCAGGGGTCTGGGCACTTCTTGTCTGGTCTGTCTAGTCACGTCGCTCAAAGGCATGGGCCATGGTCAGTCCATCAAGTCTGTCCAGACGAGCAAGGGGAAAGGAGACTGGAGGGGGGTGTGGTGGTGGTGGTGAAGGTGGCATTGCTGCAGGAATAGGCCCTGGCAAGTTTGAGTTCAGTTCTGTGAACTGCAGGCTCTGGGAAGGGAGGATTACAATTGTGAAAGATGGATTCAGTAAGGAGAGGATATGGTAAAGCACAGCTGGCAAGAGGATCATGCGGCAAAGGGGATGGCCCACTGTCGGAAGAACCCTAGCTTCAAGGGATGGTGGTTTTTGCCCAGATTTGGCATAGTCACCTCATATGTCAGAGGTTGGGGTTGGGGAGGAAGGTGGACAGCTGCAGGTGCACGGAGATGGGTTGGGTGGGGTCCTGGGAAGAAGTGAAATCTGTGGAATTTACAGGATAAGCTATCAGGAAGGGGATGTGGATTTTCGCATCTCATGTATCACCAACATGTTCAGACAGAGGCTGGAAGCCACTGGCTAGGCAGCAATCATTTCTTCTTCCAACAAAAATACACAATAGGGAAGAAAATGGCTGTGACCACACACACTGGGTTGGATACGTAACTCAGACTGTGAGGGAGAAGGCTGCAGTATTAATTGACGATGCAGAGCTTTTAAAGGGAAAGAACATTGCACAAAGTTCCATGGATTGTACATGACAGATCTGCAGGGTCCCTATTCTCCTAAAGCATTACCCACCCCTGTCTGTTGCACTTCATGCCAACAACTCATTGACAGCTACACTTTTACACAAAACAATGTTGCAAGAGGACAGTTAAAGGCATCAACATGATCCAATGTCACGTACTTGCATTGTTCCTCTTGCTTCCATACCATGCAGCAGGTTTGGTTGCGTGACTCCCTGGTTGCTTGTGCTGGGACATACTGGACATGTCAAGGATCTTCTTATCAAAAGAAAATTGACCCCCTTTGATGTGAATTTGTGAAGTTTAGAGGGTGGGAAGGCAGTGGAGGGCCCAGCACTATGTGGAAACTTCTGAGGGACTTGCATCTGATTTCTCCTCTGGCCTGACTCCTTGTGAGGAAGGGGCACCTGGAATGCACACCAGGTTTCCCGTCCTGTCACCATAACTTCGGGCTCGAGGCTCAATGTTCATGTGATGAACAGCCTGGGCAGCTCCTTTCCATGAGCTCCTGAGCATTCTGGGCTCTCCATGGCAGTGCCAACCTGTCTATGGAGATATCCAAATGGCTGCAACACTCATTGTTCTGTTACAGCTTCTGAGCAAGGAGAGCCATTGAGCCCCACATTCCTGTCTGCTGCTTCTGTTCCTCCCTGCACATGTGGATAAAGTCCCTGTCTGCTGGCACCACATGGGCCTCTCTTGCCTGGGGCTGAGCAAGAGCCTGGTCTCTGACAGTCCTCCAAGTGCCAGCAGCCTGGGATGTTTCTTCCTCTGCCAGCTGCAGAGCTGTCGCAGTGAGGTGCTCAACTGATTATGCCTAAAGTTCCCACTGAGGTGGCAGCATCTGAGCTGGTGCGGGGGTGCAGGAGGCAGACTTGCTGATGCTTCCTCTGAGGCCTTCGTACTTTCATCCTCAGAGGACAATGGAAGTGGGCTCGGGTGGAACTTGCCATTTCTCTGTGGAGCTGGTGGAGATGTGGCGATACCTGAACAGCACATGAGACAGAACGCACTGTGGCCAGTGGCTAGAAATAGTGTACAATGATTGAGGCTGGCTGCTGTGTTACTGTGAGAGTTGCAGTGGAATAAAGAGTGAACCTTTTGCAATTGGTAGGACATGGATATTTTGATATTCTCACAGAAGCAATCCTGGTCTTCCCAGGATTCTCTCCTCATAGGGGGTGAGGAGCCAAATATTAAGGCCATCATCACCCCATATAGCCTCGTTTTGTGCTGTTTTTCCTGCAGTGAGAGAAAGGGAGGGATTAAGATGAAAGTAAGTGAGATAGCTGTCAGTGCTGGTGCAGAGGAGGTGAGATGATGAGGTGTTCCAAGGCAATCGAGGAAGCAGTGCAGAGGACATGCAGGGCTAGTGAAGTAGAGAGTGGGGAAGTGGTGGGGCAGTTGAGAGTGAGTGAGCAAAGACGTCGCAGGCAACAGCAAGAGTTGCTGGCAGTCTTGGTGGGAGGTGGGTGCAGCAGCAGAGATAGAGTGAGTGTGAATCTCCACAAATACATGTCAAAGAGGGTTGACTTGTCAATGGTAAAAAGATCCTTGACATATTTGGTATGTCCAGGAACAAGTGCTTCAGGAGTCACACAACCAACCTCCAGGGCGAATGGGCTCCATGGCCAAGCAGATTCATTACCTTGCCCCAGCTGTAGAACCTGGGATTACACTGAGACATAGTGGAGGGAGAAAAAGAAGAAACATGATTGAGGGGACTCTGGCAGCATAGGTGGCAATGGATTGTAAATGATTGTGAAGGTTTTTTTTTTACAAATGTTTGTACTTTAAACATACATGTGGTTGGTAGTCTCATTGTGTAGGACTGAAAGGCATTGTTACACCATCAGGAAGCACAGCATGGTCACAGATGAGGCTCCATGGATGGGGGTTGAGGCTGAAAGCCTAATGCATCATAATGAAAGCAAGAGGAACAATTCATGTACATGACGTTGGATCGTTGGAGGTGGCTGAGAAGAGTTTGTTTCTTAACCTGGTGCAACAGAGAAGGTCACTGACCTTCCTTTGACACTGCTAGCTATTGCTCTGCACACTAGAGATGGCACTAACCTGGGTGGCAACCGCTGAACATGTTGCCAGGGCCTGACTCCTCTGCTGGTCCTCCAGGAAGAGGATTCCTTCCTTTTGTATCACCCCTTAACCTGGACCTCCAGGTTCCCCTCAGAAAATCACAGTGCCACCTTCCAAACGTCCAAGATGTTCAGATTCTGTATGTCAACAAGCAAGGCAGCTCCAGAATGCCTGTGGTCACCTGGGTGCAATGGGCCTTTTAAAAATGGCACTGTAGTCAGGAATCTTTCAGCAGTAAGTGGCAAGTTGTCTAAGAACAGCATGTAGTAAGATTGCTGGGATCAGACATGACATACAAAGGAGCAGCCTAGCTAATTCATGAGGTGAGTAGCTAAGAAAGTGAGGCAATTCTTCAGACTTTGCTGCAAAAACTTGATGCAAGTCAGACTTAGCCAAAAGAGGTAAGTTTCAGCCCAATAAGTTTCAACGTGGAGTAGAAGTAAATTCCCCAGCCTCCACAAGAATAACATGGGCCATTACCATCCTACAATTCCTCTTGTCCATTCTTGTGGACCTATCTTGCTGCTGTTAGGTCAGGCTCTGAGTCACCCAATATTATTTGTTCCTGTATGGTACCCATGCCAATATGGTATGGTCTAAGAAATGTAGGTATTTTCAATATCTACATGATAACTTGCACAATTGTGCAAGTTGCAAGTTATACATGATAATGTGGTGAAATCACCTATGGAATATATACCAGCTAGAAAAGTAAAACATTGACTCCGAAGAGTTGGAAAGTAAGCAAACAATCTGGAAGATTACTTGATAAATTATCCATGCACCACGTAGTCAGACAAATCCAAACAGCAGGAAACTCAGATCAGCAAAAGAAGTTAACAACTGTCTACGATTCCAAAGCGGGTAACAGAAGATGGCATCATCACATCATTCCATACTAGTTAAACCTAGTTATTTCCAGTTGATCATCATTGCCCAATTTGCTTAGGGTTCACTCACTACACACCTATACTAATCCTCAACCAATGTATGTTTTCATCATGTTGAAATGGTAACTTTTCAAAATATATCTTTTCTTAACAGAATCATTTTTAAAAGCTTTTTTCTTCATTCGTGCAATAATGGTACAGCTGGAGTAGTGCTCACATCTTGATAGAGATCATGAACCATTACCAAAGCTGTTCTCAAGTATAACAGTAGTATTTTTTCTATTCAAACATACATGGAATGAACTTATGCCTGTGGTAATCTGTTGTGGAATGTACACAGCAACAAAGTTTACATTCATTACATTGAGCTACTTGACTAAGACTGGTCATGATAAAAGTATTCTCTCACGTGCCAAATACTGTCTGTTTCTTGTAACTTTCCAGACATCTGTTTATTTTCACTGATCTCAAGCACAATTTCTGAATTTTTCAGCACTAAAGAGAAAGGAATCACATTTTATTAATTCCTAATAACTGAAAATCCAATAAAACTGGACAGAAATATTTTAATCCATTTTTGAAAAATCTTGACTGGAACAGATTTCTGATGTTCTCCTGGACTCCAATCTAATTTATTTGCATTTTTCTTAATTTTATATAGTGTATTCTATTTGTGTCTACCGCCTCTCTTGTTTTTTTATTCACTAACATGGATTTTCCATTAAGGAGAAGATGGTGGCACAATGATGATGCCACTAGACTAGTAATCCATAGACCCAGGTTAATGGTCTGGAGATATGGGTTCAAATCCCACCATGGCAGATAGTAAAAGTTGAATTCAGTAAACATCTGAAATGAAAAGTTGATCTAGTGGTGATTATGTAACTAACTACTATTGCATGGAATGAAAATGTATCTGCTGGTCCTACTCATGCTGGTCACGTGTGACTCCACCCACAGCAATGAAATCTTGACTGTCCTCTGAAATTGGTTCAAGAACATCTAAAAATGGGAATCAAATGTGGGGCCTTGACAACAATGTCGATATCCCATACAAGAATGAAAATGACTTGAATCTTGCCACCATCCACCACATTACCAATACATAAAGTGTAAATTATTATCAGACAACTGATTTACAATGATTGAATAAGTTAAACTTTTCCAAGATGTTTATTGCTGTTTTGGGAATTTCACTGCACAAAGCCATCAAAATGTTGCATGAAAGGCAGGCTTGTTTCATGCGTAATCAAACGTTTGTTCCAAAGTGCCTGTTTTTGAGCTGTAGGCTCAGCACAAGTAAAATTCTGATTTTATCTTTTTTTATTCATTGGGAGGATGGACTGTTGCTGGCTACGTCAACATTTATTGCCCATGCTTAATGCCCAGAGGGCAGCTAAGAGTCAACCACATGGTTGTGGATCTGGAGTCACATGTAGACCAGACCAGGTAAGGATGGCAGTTTCCTTCCCTAAAGGGCAATAGCAAACCAGATGAGTTTTTCCTAATAATTGACAATGGATTCGTGGTCATCATTAGACTCTTAATTCCAGATTTTTATTGAATTCAGATTCCACCATCTGCCATAGTGGTTACCGAATCCAGAGCTCCAGAACTTTACCTGGGTCTCTGGATCAACAGTCTAGCAACAATACCACGAGGCTGTCACCTCCCTGATAAGGTATTTTGTTACTTACTTGGAATTTTCGGAATCATTTCAGATTACTAATACTGGTTACCACTGTGGGCTGTTGGTGTTCCATTCATTATTTTACATCATTACTCAACTGCTGGCAATATCTACAAGTTAGTCTGCTATAAGCAAACATACATCAAACAACATAAACTTGTAATTCCTATAATAAACATTTAAAAAGAAAAGAAAATCTATATCATACTGATTAGTTAATGCTCCGAAAAAACAAAGTCATTGTCTTATTTTGATCCTGTAATGTGTAAGCTTAAAAAGCATGTGAGTGAAACTGCAGCTGTTCAGGCAAGAAGCATTCCCTGTGTCATTAAGGTTGCTTAAGAACACTTTGCTTCTCTCATCACAACTTATCATTGTATCCTGAAAAAACCTGTGTATTTCTCAAACAACAAATTGCATTTATATACCATGCTTAAGCTATTAAAACTTTCCAACATTCTTCATTGGAGCATTATCAATTTTAAAAACTGATATATAAGGACATGACCAAAAGACTGGCCAAATGGGTAGATTTTTAAACATCATCTTAAAGGAGGAATGATAAAGGGATTTATGGAGGCTGAGAGATTAGTGGAGGGAATTTCTGAACTTAGAGCCTGGACAGCTGAAAGTATGGCTGCTAACGCAGTGTGATGGGTATAGGAGGCCTGCATTAGAAGGCGTGAAAACACTGGAACTTAAAATAGTGAACAACAATGTAAACGGCTTTCCAGACACACATTTTGAGAAGGCAGTTGTATAATCTAGTCATAATATACTTAGTCTTGTCACACCCAGATCTGTGAATTTTTAATCCATTGCAATTTCTGTGCATAATAGGAGCCCATTGTATGTGTGAGAAAGTATCCGCTACACAAAAAGGTAACTCAGATTATCAGGTAAAAAATATTTATCTTCCTCTTTTAGGAACAATCAAGTAATCAGGAGCAAGTAGTATTCACAAGGCTTTCACAACAAGCACTCGCCCAACAGGTTAATGAGCCAACAATGACTGCACGATGGCAAAATTAGTCATTCTAACATTCTTCAAAAGTAACCATTTAATTGAATTAGTATTTTGCTGATTCCAAGAGGAAATATTGCCAAACAGAGATGATTCTTTTCATAATTTAATATTTGGTTATAAATATATATTCTTTTACAGTCTAAATGAAAAATAGGGTTGACTAATCTTATTTTTTCTGAGAAATGTGATCACTTATATAAAACTGAATGATCTTCCCATCCTACCTCTTGGTTTCTTACAAAAACATGGAAACATCTCAGTAAAACTCATCATCATCTGGGCATTTTACAACCTTTTAGACTGAATGTTTTAAGGTCAAATCATAACTACTGTTTCCACTTTTTTCTAGACAGCAACTACTAGTAATGATTCTGATTGGCATCTGTTGTCACTTACATGTTCTAGAAGCAATTTTTGATTCTTTACTTGTCCCATCATCATCTCCTTTAGTTTTGCATCATCATCTCTTTTTGTCATTTAATCTCTTTTGCCTTGCATCCTATCACCGACCTTATCTTTTGTCCCTTACTCTCCTCTTTCCCAGTCTCTGTACCTGCTTAAAATCTGCTCCCTCTCTAATCTCTTTCAGTTCTGTTGAAAGGTCATTGGCTTGAGATGTTAGGCACAATCTGCCCTGGTGAGGCATGTTGGGAAACATGAGAGTTGGCTAACTAAATCATGTAGGCAGCTGCATGTCAGTCTGCTGGTAGTAGGAAAACCTCTCACAACTAAGATGCGGAATGTGCATCATTAAGGGGATAATGTACACAACTCGCCTGCCCATGGCAGAATGTCAATTAGACTTATGACTGCATCACTTGACACCAATTCTCTTGGAGTCCACTGAAATCGAGTGATAACTCAGGTCTCCCGAAGGCTGTCCAGTAAACCCAATACTCCTGCAGGCATTGCCAGCAACAGAGAGTTGCCCACCTTTGATTGGCAGGAAACTCTCAAGGGTCGCAATTTCCACCCTGAAGAGATAAACCTTGGGGAAGGCAAGATTATTAAATGTCTGACAGGCACTTAACTTTGCTGGGCTTCTCCCACTAAAGCGACATTGGGTTTCCACCAGATTTCCCAACCGTGCAACCATCATCCACATAGAATCAAGAGTTAAGAGCCAAGATTCAATCTACACAGATTTTGCCTGACTTGCTGAGAATTTCTAGCACTTTTCGTTTTGTTTCAGATTTCCAGAATCTGCAATATTTTGCCTTTCTTTTCTACCTATTTTTTAAAACCAAAGCCTTTTAGTTTCATAGATAGTAGGAACTGCAGATGCTGGAGAATCCGAGACATGATAGCCTTAGTTGGAAGACTTGCTAGGACACTAATCCCAGCAAAATTCAGGTGAAGTCTGTCCCAATGCCACATGAATCAAAACCCACTTCTTTCACACTAATCTTTAATCATTGTATTTGGCTCTCTAATCCTATGTCAATTTGCCCATGGCTCATTACTCCAGAGGTCAGTATCTTTGTAGTTCTGCTTTCTACTTTGTATCTACCCATGTGGTTGGCACCCACAAACAACATTGCAATTGGATCCTCCCCCCACCTCACTCCAAGATGCTTTCCAGTCCAGAAGTATCTGTAAGCCTGACAAGGGTAAGCAACACGGCCTTGGTAATCACACTCTCAGTGGCAAAGAACAGCATGTACTATCCTAGATATTTTGTGGCCTCCTAAAACCACATTACATTTTACTGCCCCTACTTGGATAGCTTTCTGCACTATGATCCATGGCTAGCTTGCCCTTCCATTCTGCAGTATCGCATATTTCCACAAAATCTGTAAATATCTTGAACCAATTGGACAATTACAAGGACTTAGGCTTCTGCTTTGCTAACTTCCAGGTCCACATATTTGTCTCACCTGTGGTCATATCCTTTTCTTCCTAACCACAGACCAAATCAGAACTACCAAGTCCAAGGGGTATGAATGCTTCCAAGAATAAGTGTCCAAGTAACTGTCCTCCTTCCTGATGCACCACAGTGCCCACTCCAGTACATTAATTTTGAGCCAAGGTTCCTTGAGCTGAAACAATCACTCAATATGGTGACTGTAGATTACGCAGGTGTCCACCAGCTTTCACATGCTAGAATGAATACTGATAGAGGAAAATGGTATAACATGAAATGGGAACAGGGTGTGTTAATGTTATTAAAAGTTGTTACTCATTTTCGGAATAGATGTCACTGTGGACTGATGGGGCAGAACAGCATGTCCATATCCTCCCTGTTCTTTCAGGTTTGTACTGTGTTCACTATATATGGCTTAAGTCTTATTAAAAAGCTATGGGAGGATGCAATTTCCTTCATAATATACGTTAGATTAAAACTACAATCCACTTTCAAGTTATTTCCTTCCTAACTTCCTCTTTCGATGGCTTGAATACCAGATAGGATGCTGCTACGTGGTGTAGTCCAGTCCAAACATTTACCAATTTTCAGTATAATTTTAAATTCTCAAAGGTGATGCAGTTGCATAGTCTAAATGCCATTGATTTTTGGCAACTGAGAAGCACTTTTAAATAAATTAATGTCCTAATTATGAGCAAAAGACATTACCTTTGTTAGGCTTGATGCCAGTATCTGTCACATTCCTCTAATTTAATATTTGGATTAAATGGATTGCAACTGATCTTTTCTCACTATCGGAGAATGGATCATAATGGTCTGTGATAGATTTGATTGCTGAAAGAATCAGGGAGATATGTACTGCATTGTATAATTTATTACTGTCTCCTTCCAGCCTTACCATTGCTTCATAATAA